TGATTAAAATGATAGAATAAAAGTCAGTAATTTACTCTTGAAATCAATAAATAAATAGAAACATAAATTAAGTTAATGTGAAAGCAAGCACTTTTCACTGTATGTGTGTCTGAGTGTGTATGTGTGGTGCTCTGAAGAAGATTTTATGGTTCTGACATGATTGCCATAGTCTCAGTCTTTCTTCTTATCCCTCTATTGTTTCTTCTGTCATCCATTTTTTTACTTTCTTCTTTTCCATCTTTCTTTACACTCAGGTTCCAAAATGAACACTCAATAAATGCCAAATTAGTGAGTAAATATTGGCTATAGTGAATAAATGTTAATAAACGGTCACCACTTATGATCTGCAACATAATACTTTGTCATAAATTGTTTTATTTGAATTGTGAGAATAATAGTCTGGCCCTTAATGATGCCAACTAAATAATAGATAGATAGATAGATAGATAGATAGATAGATAGATAGATAGATAGATAGATAGATAGATAGATAGATAGATAGATAGATAGATAGATAGATAGATGGATAGATAGATAGATAGATGGTCATTCATAATCAATAGTATGAATTAAATGTAAGAAAAATAGTCTGTACTTTACTGATGAAAGCTAAAAATAAATAGGAACATAAATTCTATATTTTGCATGAATTTTATTCAAAAATTATAAGACCAATATTTGTCTATTACATTTATTTGTTTGTTTGTTAATTCGTCTGTTCATTCATTCATTCAATTATTTAAATTTGATTTTAAATGTTCTCAATCAGTGTCTTAACAGGGCTGGACTGGTAATCGGGCATACCGGGCATTTTCCCGGTGGGCCGACGCAGTTAAGGGGCCTACAGAAGGTGTTTTTTTTTGCTAAGGACCATCATGCACGGACAGCGAGCAGCCAGTGGCCCATTGGTTTGTCTCCTGTATTGACAGCGTAAACCAATCACAATGCGCTATAGATGAAGCGATGAAGTATTTTGCTCCGCCTATATAAAGATCGCTTCACCCCAATTTCTTCCTCGTCAGCTTTTCCCACGTTTTCACAGCAGCATTATCAAGAACAGGCTTGCTCTTCGGTGAGTGATGCGGGCCAAAGAGCCAGGCAGGAGGAGAGGAGAGTAGTTGAATCTGTAAAGTGCTTGATAGAGACTCGCAGCAGAGGCAGGCATCTAACCAATCCTAATGTGTGTGCGCGCCATGAGTGTAGAATACGAAAACACTTTTTAATAAAATGTAAATTTGTCCCCCGCGATTTTTTTGGCCAAGTCAAGTGTGTTCATAGAGGTTTCCATGGGCCAATGCGAATAAATCTAGATTTAAATTAAAAAAGACACGATATTGTCGGACCTGACATTTTATTCTTATCCAAAACAACTATGCAATGATACCTATCTACACTACCAGTTAAAAAACAAATTGAACAGTAAGACTTTTTATGTTTTTTTTAAAGAATTCTCTTCTGCTCACCAAACCTGCATTTATTTGATCCAAAGTACAGCAAGAGCAGTAATATTGTGAAATATATTTACAATTTAAAATAACTGCTTTCTATTTAAATATATTATAAAATGTAATTTATTTCTGTGATCAAAGCTAAATTTTCAGCATCATTCCTCCAGTCTTCAGTGTCACATGATCCTTCAGAGATCATTCTAATATGCTGATTTGCTGCTCAAGAAACATTTCTGATTATTATTATTATTATTATCAATATTTAAAATAGTTGAGTACATTTCTTTCAGTATTCTTTGATGAATAGAAAGATCCAAAGATCGGCATTTATCTGAAATAAAAAGCTTTTGTAACATTATACACTATTCCATTCAAAAGCTTTGAGTCAGTTTTTAAGAAATTATAGAAATTTATACTTTTAGCAAGGATGCTTTAAATTGATCAAAAATGATGATAAAGACATTTATAATGTTACAAAATATTTCTATTTCAGATAAATGCTGTTCTGCTGAACTTTCTATTCATCAAAGAAATCTGAAAAATTTCTACTCGGCTGTTTTCAACATAACAATAATAAATTGAGCAGCAAATCAGCATATTAGAATGATTTCTGAAACATCATGTGACACTGAAGACTGGAGTAATGATGCTGAAAAGTCAGCTTTGAAATCACAGGAATACATTACATTTTAAAATATATTCAAATAGAAAACAGTTATTTTAAATAGTAAAAATATTTCACAATATTACTGCTCTTGCTGTACTTTGTATCAAATAAATGCAGGCTTGGTGAGCAGAAGAGACTTCTTTAAAAAACATTAAAGATCTTACTGTTCAAAAACTTTTGACTGGGAGTGTATATCTTATAATATATATATAGAAGTGGTGGTGGGCCGCCTGGACCAAAAAATGCCAGGGATGATTTTTTTGTCCCAGTCCAGCCCTGCTTAAAGTATTACCGAATTTTCTGAAATCTTCAGTATTCTGTCAATATTTACTCACCCCTTTGTTGTTTTAAACCCATATGCTGTTATGAAACACAAGAGCAGGATTTTTTGAAGTATCTTTATGTAGATGGGTTCTATTCAACTAGAGTTCATAGTGTTCTCATCTGTCATGCTCCAAAAGGGACAACAAAAAGAGCAGTCCATATGTCACTGTTTTCAAAGTCTGAAAAAGCATTCTTTGTGTTCCACTAAAAAAAGCAAAGGTGTGCAGCTTTGTAATGATATGACTAAGTAAATAATGAGGAGATATATATTTGTGAGTGAGCTGTCCCTTTAAATGTTGGTGGAAATGTTGTGCCTGTCTAAGAGGCTGATGAGGCAGCTCTCCTGTCAAAATGCCAGTCCTCCCTCCTGATTGCTAGGGGATTCAGATTATTCAGCAGACTCTCAAGCATCCGGCATCTTCATTAGTTCATGCAACATACAACATGTCAAAAATCCTTCTGTAATAATCAGATTTCCCTAAATCGCACAATCCTAGATTAAAAAGGCAGGGGAGAGAGGAAAAAAGAAAGTGAGAGAAACTGTGCTATGGTGTGTAAAACTTGTGTTTTTTAAGCCAGTGAAAGTGGCTGAGCAGTGAAGACAAGTTATGGGTACACTCACTGAGCCTTGTGTGCTGCTCTGACACCTGCTGGAGTTTCAGAGCACTGCAGGATGGGAACCAAAAACACAACAGAGGTGGAATAGAGACTGCTAGAGGTCAACCTAATCCCTCTTCTCCTTTATGGAGAACAGATTTCTCTTCATGTTGCATAAGAAATAGCTATTTTTATGGTTTAATGCCACCTGATTAAGTAGACGACCTTAGTTTGCCTCCAAAGGGCCCAGGATAACATTGTCCCGTCCTGATGACGGCTCTGCCTATGCAGGGGCTCCTAATTATTGTCAAATTGAGAAGAAGTCAGCAGGTATTATACATGACTGTTTCTCAAGTGTTTTAGAATTTCCCCGCATCTAATTTTATTGCACAGACACACACTCATACTCCATCATCTTCTGTCAACTGGAAACTCCAATTCAATTAAATTTGACAATTAATTAATTAAAGTTGGCAGAGCTCTTTACACTGAATGGTGTTTAATGTCCAGTTCAAGCCTACACTCTTAAAAATAAAGGTGCTTCAAAAGATTCTTAAAGCGATGCCATAGAAGAACCATTTTTGGTTCGACAAAGAACCATTCAGTCAAAGGTTCTTTAAAGAACCATCTCTTTCTTACCTTTTTATAATCTGAAGAACCTTCTTTCGCCCCAAAGAACCTTTTGTCAAACAGAAAGGTTCTTCAGATGTTAAAGGTTCTTTATGGAACCATTTAGACAAAAAGGTTCTTCTATGGCATCGTGAAGCACCTTTATTTTTAAGAGTGTAGATGAACGTTGGAAAAAAATATGTCTACTAAAAAGTATTATACGCCTCCTATAAATGCAATTACATTTCATTATTCATAATTAAATGTATTATATTAATGAATTGTATTCATTATTTTAAGTTAGAATTTAAAATACTTCCTGTATTATATTCATATTTACATAATTATTAAAATGAACGATTATTATTATTAATGAAATGCTTTATTTCATTGCATGCTTTAAGACAGGAGAAAATATCAAAAGCATCAGGAAGATCAAAAGCATAAATGACAGTGATGTAATTTGAGATGCAATTAAACCTGAAAAAAAAAGCTATTTGAAAGCTAAAAGCTATACTGAGCTATTTTTAAGGTGTTCACGGACACTGAAAAATAATTTATTATATTAACGCGTTCATTTATAATTTTAAATCACTTTAAATATTTAATGTGTTATTGTTATTTATATCATTATTATTATTATTCATGACATGCCTATCTTTAATAGCACACTTTTAAGACAGGAGCAAGATTATCAAATGCATCAGGAAAGATCAAATGCCCAAATGGCCACAGTTTAATTACAGATATGCAATTAAACCAGGTAAATTATGATTCTGCTTTATGAAGAAGGCTTAATTTTTCTTTGGTGACTGAGAGGAGTGTTTCAAAACAAACACATTAGAGCAAGAGAGAGAGGAAGAGGAGTAAACCCCTTATTCAGCTGCTCTGCTCACCAGTCACACCAAGGATCCCAATCAATCCTGGAAATTGGTTTGTTCCCTGACAAGGTTACGAAATGACAGGGTGGTAGAGAGAGAGAGAGAAAGAGAGAGAGAGAGAATAAAAGAGAGATGTTGGTGTTTGCTTACTGACAGGCTGCTACCTCCAGCAGGGAGTTTGGCTGTGTTTGGGCTTGTGGCAGCGATTACACTGCAACACTTATGTTCACCTGAACAGAACGCATGTGTTTCATAAATATGTAATAAGAAAGTGTAGTGTAATGGGATTTGGCTTTCCTCATTTACTGTTCCTCAGTACACTATCCTGAAATGTCAATGTGAGGCCCATTTTCCTCCTGTCCCAGCTGAACTCAGTATACAGGCTACATATAAACATACAATAACAGTCAGCGGATGCAGTCTGTTATTTTGGTTAACTCATTGTCGGGGTATATGTGTGTATCTCTGTTACAGGAACATTTCACGCCGGAGTGCAAGTTTAAGGAGTGTGTGTTTGAGAACTATTATGTCACATACTCCTCGATCTTGTACCGTCAAACGCAGTCGGGTCGGGCCTGGTACATTGGCATTAACCGGGACGGACAGGTCATGAAAGGAAATCGGGTCAAAAAGACTAAAGGAGCAGCCCACTTCCTGCCCAAGCTCATAGAGGGTATGTTTTTATTCATAATAATAATAATAATTTATTTGTTGTATGTGGACAGTGCAATGCAAAAGTTTGGGATCTGTGAGATTTTTTTTTTGAAAGATTTTTGAAATAAGTATCTTATGCACACCAAATCTGCATATAAATATATTTTATATTTTCTTTAAATACAGTAAAAACAGTAATATTGTGAAATAGTATTACCATTTTATATAACTGTTTTCTATTTTAATATATTTTAAAATTTAATGTATTCCTGTGATGGCAAAGCTGAAGCAAGTCTTCAGAGTCACACAATTATATTTTGTGGAATCCATGATACTTTTTATTTACATATTATTTTAAACTTTCAATTCATCAAAGAATCTTTAGGATGAATATAAAGTTTAAAATAATAGGATATATATGATATTTAAGTATTTTGTAGCATTATAAATGTCATTACTGTCACTTTTGAATAATTTAGTGCATCCTTTCTGAATAAAATTATTAATTTCTTTCAAAAACTTTCACTGACCCAAAAATGCATGAATCATCATTGATCATGTTGTGCCAAACCTGTATGACTTACTTTCTTCTTTGGAGCATGAAGATATTAGTTAAGAAGACATTAGCTATGTCCAGGTCAAAAAACTTGGATTGATTGTATGGACAAAAGAATGCAGAGATATTTTCAGATATTTATAGTTTTGAATGAGGGTGAGTTAATGTGACAGAATTGTCTTTTTGGGGGTGTACTGTGCCTTTAAGTGTCTTTCTTTTTCCAGTTGCCATGTACAGGGAACCATCGCTACATGACGTTGCTGAGCAAAGCCCACCTAGGAAAACGGCCAAAACATCAGACTTCCCCGTCCATAAAAACAGCAAGAAAGACCAAGTGCTTCCCGCCTCCACAGCCTCCTAGCGGCACTAGAAGACACTCTTCGTTTGCACGGACACGCCATGAACGCCAACAGTGGCACAGGAGGTTTGGTACAAACAATGTTTGTTGGCCCTCCACCGGCCCTCAGAACTTTGATATTTCCAACAATGAATCAGGGCTCAAAAGACCCTTGCCGACAAGTCTAATGCCCACCGCACTTCCTTTTGGTCTCCCCTGCTCCTTAATCAAGGGAATACCGAGCAATAATAACCGCACTGGTCTGGGGTCAGAATGTGACGGCATCGCTTTTGTGAGAACAGCAACTCCTAAAAGAAAGGATCTTTGTCTTCCTCTCCTTTTTTAGTATTTCAAGAAGAAACACTTCCTCTTGTGAAGCAATTCGTGCTTGACATTTAAACCCTCCGTTTCCTTTGTTCAAGCATTCATAGATTCCCCGAAATCTGTTTTCTTTTCTTTCTTTTTTTTTACAGAGATCCCCCGTCATCTCTAAGCCTTGTTTGTAATCTCCTCTCGCTTCTCTACCTCTTCTGCACTTTGATTAGCTTGAGACACAGAGGCTATTTTTCACTTCACAACACAGGAAAAGCCCCGCACACTCTCCCGGGGACCATTAAGGATGCCACCACATACTCACACACACACACACACACACACCAAATAACTAAATAAATAAAACTTCCCCTTCTCTTTGGATGAGGATGTTTAGAGTCATTGTACCTTAGGCAGTGCAAACCTTTCTCTGCTCATCGGCTCCTGCGCTGATGAGTCTGTGGAGGCTGGACGTGTGAGTGTGTGTGTGTGTGTGTGTGTGCGGTGAACAGTAATACAATATAATTTGTAAGATGACTCATAACAGAGGCAGTAGGGCGGCATTATTGTTTCTTTTTGTTGTGAGAAGTCGTTGTTTATCTCATTGCAATATGCCCAGAGAGCAATATCGGTACAGCTGCACTCTTTCTCCTCTCTTTTTAGCATGTGTGTTGCTTTCGAGCAGGGTTTCTCAAAGTAGATATGCTGACTACTGTGGCTGCAAGTTTCCCAAAGTTCATGTCCCTACATTCAATTTAATTCTATTACATTTGCCTGAGAGCAAAGGCACTTCACCCAGCCAAATGAAACAACACAAGTGCTGAAAAAGGTCCAATTCTGCTTCATTTTCTTCTGAAAAAATTGGGGAATGGACCCCGGAGGAGCTCAAAGGGAGTCATTTTGGGAAACCTTGCACAGAGAGTCCAAACAGACCTGTAACTTCTCACCTCCAGAGGTGTTGAGAATATCAGTATGTAAATGAAAATGTGTTCTAAGTGCTATGAGGAACCTGATGACACATCGCACTTCTGCCTTTGCAGTAATATTTCTAATAATGTTTTCATGCATAACACCTACATTATGGAAATATGATTTAATAATACACTACCGTTCAAAAGTTTGGGGTTGGTAAGTTTTTTTTTAAATGTTTTTGAAAGTCTCTTATGCTCACCAATGCATTTATTTGATGAAATATACAGTACTGCTTAATATTTTGCTGCTTAATATAATGCTACATTTCAGGAATCTTTGAAAATTCTAAAGAATAGGTTTTTTTTTGTAACAGTCTTCTTTCCTCTTCTTTCACTTTTGATTAATTTTATGCACCCTTGCTGAATAAAAGTATTAATTTCTTTATATATATATATATATATATATATATATAGAACGGTAGTGTATATTGTTACATTATACAGAGATGCAAACAGGTAAGAGGGAAAACAGGTGAGAACATTGCACGGATCGGGGGCATGCTCCACACAGAAGTTCTTTTAAAGGTATTTGCTTTACATGCTCACTTGTAGTTACTTTTAGGTTGTTGTTTTTTTTTGTATTTTTTTATTATCTTATATGTCCAAAACTGTATTTTTTCGCAATAAAAAATAGATAAATAAAAAAAAATAACACCTTGTTGCAACATTTTACAAAAATCAAGACTGAATATATTTGGTCAAAATCCAATGTTATAAAAGATGCAGTGCTATGCAGGCTTTTACTGACCCCAAACTTTTAAATGGTAGTGTATAATATAATTTTGGAGGTAGAAAATGTTCCCTATTTAAATACATAATTATTAGGGTGCCTTGCAGGGAGTATTTTAGCTGGCTTTTGATTTTTAGTCTAATGTTTTTTTGGTTCCAGTATAGTTATATCAGAGTACATTCCCTTGCTGGTTATATATTCACTGTGATATCAAGTGCAAAGCTTAAACTAAGTGCAAAAAATCAAACTTTTCTCCTGCTGAGTGGAATCATTTCTCATACCGTGCACCTGGTGTTGAGGAAATTATATGTGTGATCATTCTAGATTCAGTCCCCTGCAACAATGCTTTATTAGGAGAAACAAAGTTATTAAGACCAAAGTGGAAATAGCTAAATACATTTTAGACTTTGTGAATATTTACTAGATCGGGATGTCAATCTTTCCCAGATTACAGTTTCCTTACTGCAAATCACAGCAGCACCCCGCAGGTAATTCACAATCCCCCATTACAGAAGTTGGTGCTTGCGGTTAACGTCCCGAGCAGATTGTTTTTCAGAGGGGCTGAATCAAAATGCTCTGCATCTCATACTGTAGCTTCTGGGTACATCTTGATTTTCTTCATAAACTATAATTTGTTTTGCAAGTAGCAATGCTCATCTCAGACTCTAGCTTTTCTTAAAGGGGTCCTATTATGCTCTTTTACAAAGTCTTGATTTTGTTTTAGGGGTGTACTAGGACAGGCTCTCAGGTTGTTCGAAAAACACATTATTTTTCACATATTTTACATTATTACAACACCTCTCTCCTCAGTCTGGCATGAACGGCTCAAATAGTTCCTGTATCAAATGAAGCCCCGCGTTCTGAAATACGATATGTGTTGTAATTGGTTAGCTGGGCCAGTGTGTGCTGTGATTGGTTAGCTGGGTCAGTGTGTGCTGTGATCGGTTAGCTGGGTCCGTGTGTGCTGTGATCGGTTAGCTGGGTCCGTGTGTGCTGTGATCGGTTAGCTGGGTCCGTGTGTGCTGTGATCGGTTAGCTGGGTCCGTGTGTGCTGTGATCGGTTAGCTGGGTCCGTGTGTGCTGTGATCGGTTAGCTGGGTCCGTGTGTGCTGTGATCGGTTAGCTGGGTCCGTGTGTGCTGTGATCGGTTAGCTGGGTCCGTGTGTGCTGTGATCGGTTAGCTGGGTCCGTGTGTGCTGTGATCGGTTAGCTGGGTCCGTGTGTGCTGTGATCGGTTAGCTGGGTCCGTGTGTGCTGTGATCGGTTAGCTGGGTCCGTGTGTGCTGTGATCGGTTAGCTGGGTCCGTGTGTGCTGTGATCGGTTAGCTGGGTCCGTGTGTGCTGTGATCGGTTAGCTGGGTCCGTGTGTGCTGTGATCGGTTAGCTGGGTCCGTGTGTGCTGTGATCGGTTAGCTGGGTCCGTGTGTGCTGTGATCGGTTAGCTGGGTCCGTGTGTGCTGTGATCGGTTAGCTGGGTCCGTGTGTGCTGTGATCGGTTAGCTGGGTCCGTGTGTGCTGTGATCGGTTAGCTGGGTCCGTGTGTGCTGTGATCGGTTAGCTGGGTCCGTGTGTGCTGTGATCGGTTAGCTGGGTCCGTGTGTGCTGTGATCGGTTAGCTGGGTCCGTGTGTGCTGTGATCGGTTAGCTGGGTCCGTGTGTGCTGTGATCGGTTAGCTGGGTCCGTGTGTGCTGTGATCGGTTAGCTGGGTCCGTGTGTGCTGTGATCGGTTAGCTGGGTCAGTGTGTGTTGTGATTGGCAGCACTCGGCACCTGGTCTGGAAATGTCATGCCCCTTACCATAGCCACCTGCGAGATTCAGTGTAAATATTGCATCAATATCAATTAAATTTGAGCGTGATTTAAACCCGGATGATTGTAACCACTCTAAGTTCGTCTGCCTTGGGAAAGCTAGCGTGTCTCCGACATAGTGATAACACTCATTGCCTTCTCTAGTGCAGCTCAACCAGGTCTCGTCCCATTCGTCGATATTTGTGATATCACAAATCCCAGAAAATATGCGTTGTAGTCCAAACGAGTCGTTCATTGTAGTTTTTGAAAAGTGATTTCTGTTCAATAAAAAATCTCCTTTTGAAGTGGACTTTGAACTTTGTAACTTTGCAGATCTTTTTTTATGCTCAAACAGCAACATTACAGACTAACTAAAGTTGAAAAAGTGAAAAAGCATAATAGGACCCCTTTAAGTCTTGCATTGTCCACATCATTTAAATTTGAGCTTCTATATTATCTGAAGGGCTATTTACATAAAGTTTTGCAGGTCTATAATGCTGTAATCACAGACAAGAAAAAGTCAACAGAGGCGCTATAAGACAAAAGACTTCTGAATTAGCAATGCCACGCTGAAACAAAATCCAGCAGGTCAGACCGCAAAGGTTAAATAAATGATAAAGGCAATGTCGTATGAAGCCACAACTGTGCTTTGATTAGCATCCCATGGTTAATTCATTCAGTTTAATCACAATTAGACCATGAAATTGATAGTTACTTTTAAATGTCTCACTTCTAGCCTTTCACACTTCTAAATGTCACGGAAGGACTTGTGGTAACTTGCTCAATAAAAAGGCTCTTGTGTTTGTAAGGGCTTTCTAATCCAATATAAAAGAGATATTTCTACTGCTCATTACTTCAAATGTGTCTAACTGACACTTAACTTATTATAATAACATCATAATGGTTTGCTTTAGATCAGTTTGAGATGATTGTGAACATGTGTACAGCATAATGTTAGAGAAAAGAAAAGAAAATTGGTCACTTTCTTTGCTTTGATGTATTTGGCATGCACATAAGGGCCAGATCGGGTGGTTTAACAATTATTTTAATGAAACCACTCTCTGTGCACAGCTAAGTGCTTCTCTCTCAAGTTCACTGCTATTTTTCAGCGATAAACACAGAGGCCAGAAGATGAAAGCTAAGGGCTAATGCTTTTCAGAAGAGCCAAGGCATTAAAACACTGTATGTGTCTACGTAGATAGAGATGACCTTGTAAACTGCAGTATTCTAAATTTGCTAAACTGATATTTTTGTGCATCTCATTTTTATGTTTCTTTTTCCTTTAAATGTCCTGGTCAGTGTTTGTGTTGGCCATCACTCGTGCATATGTCTCTCATTGCGTTGCATTTGTGAATCTATTTGTTTATTGTAATTTGCATATTTACTAGTCTCTCTAGAATCATATAGTCAGCTGAAGAGTATTTGGGGCGCAAGGTCATAAAGACGTTAAATAATGTTGTTATGTTGAGTTATGGGATAGGGTTAGTCTGTGCAATTATAATCAGCTTTTAACAGACAATTAACAGACTGATCTTTCTTTACACTGGTATATTGACTGGCAACTTACAGTGTTTATGTTACACGTATTACACATAACATGTATTACTAAAGCAGTAGTATTAACAATGTGCAATT